AGAAACAGATGAACAACCAATCAGCTCAGTGACCAAGAATAAATTGAAGCAGATGTCATCATGTACTGTAAGTCATTTTTGAATTGATCTAGTAATCTTACTACATGTCACATCCTGTGACTTTCCTATTCCATTCAACCTATTTCCAACCCATCCCGACTCATCCTGATATACCCGACAACTTCAGGTTGTACTTAGACTCTTTTTCTTTGTCTTCACTACTCCGTTTTCCCATTTCCAACCCGAGTCTTCGGACTTCTATTAGTAATCATGTCCACCTTATATCCGCTTTCTGTCATGCTTCTCCTTTTCGTCATCATTTGTCTATCCTTGTTAATCTAACATGCTTATTCGTCATTTGCACGTCTTACATAGTAATCCTGACATTTCCTTCTTTGTTGCGCTTCGGGATTCCCAAAAGACCTGATGCTAGTCTGTTTATATCCATCTGGACTTTTAGTATATAAACCCCATGTAACCTCCCTACATTTCTCCAGTTCAAATATCAATAAGACTGCAATCCCGATATCTTCTATTCTTCTGAATCTCCCTCTTAAGTCTTGAGTTGACCTCAGGGCTTATAATCTGACCCTCTCTGTAAATCAAGGGACAAGGACTCATACAGGGGCGCAACACATAAGTTGAAGCCAAAGTCCCTTCCCAGTCAGACGTTCTCCGGACTCTCATCCCCATTACCCAATAACCTGATCCTTTGGGTTTGCTCCAGACTCTCAGGATTGAACCGGATTCTGACAGTATATTTGAACTCTAACCTCTATGAGTTCACTAATGCTGTTTTCATCCTATGTCTAGAACTGTTCAGACTCGTGCTTGCGCATGGACTGTTCAAAACATCATTACTCCACCCATTCAGTCAGCTCGGGAAGACACGCTGAGCTCCCTGATGTCCACATGTTGAGGGACTCCTGTTGCTGATCAATTCCAAAGTTTTTCGTCTCGTTGTGCAAACATGACCAAGGATTCTGCATCCCAAGCAAGACTCCCATCCCTCACCCTGTCAACCCCTAACCCTTCAGTCCAACCACCCCACCCTTTCAGGGATGGTCCCGACCCGTCTGATCATGGGGGCGGAGGTGACGACAATCCCAATAATAACTCTAATAATAACAATGATGATAACAACAACGACAATCACCGTTTCGGAAATGCGCCTGACCCCGATGACCTACCTCCTAACCCCATCAAGGCGCTCGCAGAACCCATTCATGGCCTCGCACAATTATCCTATCACGACCCCGACGCTGATGCCTCTTCCATGTGTATGAAGGTGTGGGAACCTGGCACCTTTGATGGAACTGATCCTTGCAAACTCCGGGTCTTCTTAGTCCAATGCAAGTTGAATTTCCAAGACCGTCCTCGTGCTTTCCAGACTGACAAGGCAAAGGTCACCTTTGCCCAGTCCTATCTCAAGGGAATGGCTCTCGAATGGTTTGGGCCTGATCTCCTCCAAATGGATGACCCAACGCTTCGCCTGGACTGGATGGATGATTATCGGGAATTCATTCTCGAGCTCCAAACCAACTTTGGCCCCCATGATCCCATTGGTGATGCTGAACACCAGCTAGACCATCTCTCTATGAAAGATGGACAGCATATCAACAAGTACATCATAGAGTTCATTCACCTTGCAACCCAAGTCCAGGGTTACAGCAAAGGAGCTCTCAGACATCATTTCTATAATGGACTCCCCGACAGAATCAAGGACAAGATTTCCCGAGTCGGGAAGCCTTGGACTCTTGGAGAACTTCATACCCTCACGCAGACTATTGATGGCAGGTACTGGGAACGCAAATCTGAAGTCGCCTGTCAGACCAAGACATCAGGAAATCAATCCTCAATGTCCAAAGGCAACTCCAACAATCATCATCCACAAATCCTTTGACTCCTGCTGCATCCTCATCATCCTCAAAAGGGAAAACCTCAGCCCCTAACCTGAAACCCCAATCTGATCTATCCAGCAAACTTGGGAAGGATGGACATTTAACGTCCGAGGAATGCAAACATTGCTTCGACCTGAAGCTGTGCATGTTCTGCAGGGCCACAGGACATATGGCCAAGGACTGCAGGAAGTCTTCTTCCAATGTGTCCAAAGCCTGAGCAGCTAAGATGACCACTCTGGAAGTCCAACTGGAGGCCTCAACCTCTGAGGCAAAAAAATAGAGTGCAGCCTTCAGGACTCCGCACGGGATGGAGGCTGTGTTGAACCCGACCATGCAGTTCAGGAGATTTATCTCAATGTGTCCGCTCTTTCTGACCCCAAAGCACTCATGCC